CTGCAGAAAAACCACACGAACACACACACACACACACACACACACACACACATTGAACTTGTGTGCGTGTGACCACGTGAAGGGGTGTGTGATTTTGGGTGTCTTTTTACCGGAGCAAACAGGATAGAGCAGCAGAAAGTCTGAGGCAAGCAGTTAAGATGGATGACTTTAAATTAATTATGGAAGTTGAGAAACACAAGGAGCTGTGACCCCCGAAAAACATGGTTATTTACGTACCCATTTCGGAAGAAACTGCTAGGATACAGCTGCAGAATTGGAGCGGGTTCCAAGGGATTCAGCTGGCAGAAACAACTGGTTCATACCATAGGTTCACACACACACACACACACACATACGCGCGCACACACACACACACACACACGTAGAGGAAAAGAGCTGAGAAAAGGCAGAGGGGAAATGGAGGACACCAAGTAGTTAAAAGTAAAACTACAGCTGAGCCGAGGCGCGCCTCGACTGGGGCGTGTCTGATCTGAACTGAGGAACGGCGAGCAGCGGCCGAATTTCGTGAGCGATTCGCTTCTCGGCGCTTCCGCGGCCGGTGTGTCCCCGGCGTTAAACGCCGGCTTTCAGCCACTCCCCCTGCTGCTTCCGTCTGCTCTCGTCTGTGTTCCAGGCGAGGCGCTGCTCAACTCGAACACGGCCATTCTCTGCGCCTCCCGTCTTCTTTAAACCGCCAAGAATCATTCCACCTACGCACACACTTCTCTGCTTCATACCGTTTCGAACTGTCTCGCTTCTCCTCAACAGTTTTAAAGCGTTTTGCCGGAGATTTCATCAAGAAATCCCATCCCTGTGGTGGCGCGATCTTCCTGCATGCTTGTGTGTTTCTAGCGTGGTTCCACTTCGTCTTTAATAGTTCACGTGACTATAACTAGAATCGTGCAGTACGTGCACGAATCGTACAAGTGCAGTACGTGGCTAGAGGCGCGCAGGTTCACACGTGCGAAACGAAAACGGCGGCTTCCAACTAGGGCTGCAACAACGAATCGATAAATTCGATGAAAATCGATTACTAAAAGCGTTGGCAACGAATTGCGTCATCGATTCGTTGTGTCGCACAACTTTTCCAAAAGCGCCCCCCCCCCCCCCTCCCGCCCGCAGTTGCGCGCAGACCAGAGCAAGTCAGATCAGCGCGAGGGAGAGCCGGCAGATCAGCGCGAGGGAGAGCCACAGATCAGCGCGAGGGAGAATCGCAGATCAGCGCGAGGGAGAGCCGGCAGATCAGCGCGAGGGAGAGCCGCAGATCAGCGTGAGGGAGAGCCGGTACCGGCAGATCAGCGCGAGGGAGAGCCGGCAGACTTGCGCTGCTGCGAACCGGTTCCGCATTGTCGCGCAGCGATCCAGGCAGCTTCTTCCAGCGCATGGTCCATTCTCAAAGTGGCGCAACCAAAAAACTATAATTAGCACACGATCGTTCATGTCCGCACATGTTCTCTATTTTCTGTCTTATTTGTGCCTGAAGCTCGCTACTGCGGAGCTCATCACCTGTGCTGTGGTGATGTCACCTCACGCAGCATCGAAAACGCGCTCTGCGCTTTTCGGTCAGGAGATCCCTTTGATCTGCTCAAAAGTAACTGATGAGGTGAAAAGGTAAGAATCCAGGCAACAGATTTTCTGGAGAATTAAGAGGAGATGCAGGAAGATGAGAGACAGACAGGACAGGAAAATAGTTCAATAAAAACAAGAAAACAAAACAAAGTGTTGAAAAGTCAAATGTAGGTAGATTTATCTCCACTACACGTTTTTACCAGTAAAAAACAAGTTATACACATGTAATATTTATACATCTGATACAATTCAGATCACCTTCAAAACTGTCACACACCCAGGGCCGTTTCAAGACATTTTGGGGGCCAAGGCAAAATGCCCCCCCCCCCCCCCCCCCAATAACTGGGCTCCCCAGAAGCCTCTGTGTAATTCATGCCCTCTCCAGTAGTGTTAGTTATATGGTGTTTATAAAAGCCCCTCAGACATTACTGACATGTTCTAATATTATCAGATGAAAAACTAAATTATCAGACATGCTGTCTCATCTGCTTCTTTTATAAACTTGCAAAAAGTAACAAAACAATTTGAAAGCCACTATTTGTGGATTCTCTGAAAGTTTCCATGGAGTGTGTGACAACTTATTTTTTCATTGATCCTATCGTCTAATCTCACAGCTGAAACAAGCATCCTTAATAATCTGTGCACAGGAAGCTTACCAATGCTGTAGTAAAACAAAAGGTATAATAATTTATTATTAATAAACCTTGTTGCAACACTAAAGCAGAAAAATTAGATTTTGCATTAAATATGCAAAATATTTACATATGAATTGTTTTAGAGCCCTTTAATTGGCAGAATCTGATATTAATTTAGTTCTTACAAAAAATGGGTCCCAACATGGTTTGTGTGGCGTTGCCATAGTGTGACGTCATAGGCACAAATCCCCTGTCCTCTTGTTTGGAAATGGAAATATGGTCACCCTACATTAAAACTGTCCACCCGGGCTTTTGCACTGCACAGAGACGCTTTGCTGCCTACGACTGAACGTCAGTTGAGAGTCAGTCTCATGCAGACTGACCAATGAAGAGAAGGCCTCAAGTTAAGACCCTCTCCTCATTGGTCAGTCCACACGAGGTGGGTCAAAGGTTACTCTGGGCGGGTTACGTGTTGTCAGGCATTCAAGTATTGAGTATATTTACTGCATATTACAGTAAAATATTCTGTATGTGACCACATTATGGTGATCCTTGGGTCGTGATGATGGAGCCCTTGAATATTGTTGCCCAGGGTACAACAAAGTGTTAATCTGGCCCTGGTTCCGCCGTCACATTCCCGCAGAAACTGGTTGATCACACCGGGGCCAGACTACTAGCATGTGGTTTTACAACCACAATGTCCTCAGAAGCAAAAACGCTTTTAAAAGGGAGGGAGGAGTCCTAACTGTAGCTGCAGGCGTGTTGTGTGAGAGTGCAGTTATATACTGGTTAATATATTTTTGGGTTCAGTTGCTTTCATGTGGCCTAATGTGAGTCTATTTGGGATCATTGGAATGATCAGCAGCATTTCTTGATGTGACTTTATGGCAGTTGCCCAGGGCATCATCGCAAGGAGGATGGCATTCATTTACTTTTGTTTTATTTGGTATTTTTTCAGTCATTTTTGGAAATAGTGATCAATTTTGATTAATTCACAGCCTATGTTTAATTACATTTAAAATAAATGTCAACAGATGAGATCAAACAAAACAGATGAGAATTGCCCTTAAGCTGTTTAACTTGGACCAAGCATTTTAGGTCACAGATGGATGTAGCTTAGGGTCTCTGTCTATACACCTTATAAGACAATTTAGGTGATGGCATGTTGTTTTTCTGCTATTGAACTGTTTTCTAATAATGTTGTGTTAAATAAAGTGAAGGAAGGAGAGAAATAACGTTTCCCAAGCAGTTTTTAAAAATTTCCCCATGTAATCCGATTAATCGATTAATCGTGTCGAGACCCCATCCGATTAATCGATTATCCAAATAATCGTTTGTTGCAGCCCTACTTCCAACAGGGCGGGGCCATGATGTAAGTGAAAGCCGGTGTGTAAATGACAAACAAGGCTTGGGCGCCACCTGGGCGGTAAGTCGTCAAGTATTTGCCGCCCGACAAGAAAATTTAGCGCCATTGGCGCTCGGGCGCTTTAACGGTCCACCCCTGCATGTGTAAGTAATTTCTCTCCAAAATAAAGGCTAGACTTATAATAGAACAATGCATGAAATCATGCCATAGCAACATTGCAGCAAATGTGAAATAGGGTGCAGCTATCGAATATTTTTGTAATCGAGTACTCTATGGAATCTTTTATCGATTAATCTAGTACTCTAATAAATTACCCTTTTGTTTTTGTAAACCATTATATCAAATCAAATCACTTTTATTGTCACGTCACATGTGCAGGTACACTGGTACAGTACATGCGAGTGAAATTCTTGTGTGCGAGCTTCACAGCAACAGAGTTGTGCAAAAATACAATAACGTAAAAACAAGCAAAATATAAAAATGGCTAATCTAAGTAATAATATGTATAGTATGTAAGGTATATACATTACTAAATGTGTGTGCTAGTATTTTATTTTATTTTTTTTCTCCGTGTGTGAGTGTGTATAATGCGTATATACATGTTTTACAAATGATTAAAGTAAACAATAAAATAAGAGATATAAAATGTACAGAGGTTGGTATGTGCAAAACAGTGGCATTAATGTACAGTATGGAGTGTAATTTTGGAGTTTCAGTAGTGAGGGTGAGGTGTCTGTGAAGTGTTCAGCAGTCTGATGGCCTGATGGAAAAAGCTGTCTCAGTCTGCTGGTTCTGGACCGGATGCTGCAGAACCTCCTTCCTGATGGAAGTAGTCTGAACAGTTTATGGCTGGGGTGACTTGAGTCCTTGATGATCCTCCCCGCTTTCCTCAGGCACCGCTTCCTGTAGATGTCTTGGAGGGAGGGAAGCTCACCTCCAATAATCCTTTCTGCACACCGCACTACTCTCTGGAGAGCTTTGCGGTTGTAAGCGGTGCTGTTGCCATACCAGGTGGAGATGCATCCAGTGAGGATGCTCTCAATGGCACAGCGATGGAAGGTCCTGAGGATGCGGCGGCTCATGCCAAATCTTTTCAGTCTCCTGAGAAAGAAGAGGCGCTGCTGTGCCTTCTTCACAATGATGTTGGAGTTTCTCGTGGCCGTGCAGTCGTGGGTGTAGAGTGAGTACAGGAGAGGGCTCAGCTCACACCCCTGTGGAGCACCAGTGTTCAGTGTGATGGCGGATGAGGTGGTGCTGCCCAGTCTGACCACCTGGCGTCTCTCAGACAGAAAGTTAAGGATCCAGCTGCGGAGGGAGCTGCTCAGTCCTAGATCCTGCAGTTTCCTGTCCAGCTTCGAGGGAACAATGGTGTTGAATGCTGAGCTGTAATCTACAAACAGCATTCTCACATACGTGTCTCTCTTCTCCAGGTGTGACAGGGCAGCATGGAGTGTTAGGGCTATGGATGGCATCATCAGTGGACCTGTTGTGGCGGTATGTAAACTGTAGAGGGTCCAGTGAATCGGGCAGTGCAGAACAGATGAAGTCCCTGACCAACTTCTCGAAGCATTTGCTCACGATGGGGGTCAGGGCTACAGGTCGCCAGTCGTTCAATGAGGATCAAACAGCATGTTATAAAATATGAAAGACCTCTTTAAAACGAGCAAGCAATTGCCAGTTATTCTTCAAGTTTTATTCAAAATTAGTTTTCAAACTTCAGCACTTCAACTTTACTTCACAGTAAACAATTGCCTGCGCAAAACATAAGTACACAACCTGAGCCGATTTTCCCCTCATGCGAAAAGTAGCGCTGCAAGCGGCTGCGGCCCACACAGCACCAGAACCGCTCACGGCGCTTGTGCAAACATTGTTAGCCAGCTGTTTCCCCATTAACGCACGTCCGTTTTAATTTCTACACTTTTTTTTCTCACACGATAACAAGGATTGTCGAGAAAGCATGTTTGCCGTGGGTATGTCAAATTATACTGATCACAAAACATTTATTTACTTTATTTTGTTTTCCTCTCATAAATACCGGTGTCTTCCTGCAGCAATCCCGAGGGACAACAGACATCAATAACAACACAGTAAAATGTCCGACGTGTTGTAAAAACTGCTATTTTTAGCACGTTTTAAGTCTGACGTGTTGCTACCAGACGTACAGTGTGAGCTGACACTGACTGCTACAAATGAAAAAGTCACACAGTGTCCACAGAATATATAGCGGACCTCCGAGTCCGCTTGCAGAAGTGACATTTACACGTGGATGTTTCCTGGTCAGGTGCTGCAGCATGGAGGCTAAATCCATTTTACAGTATTTACAGGTGCTGGCCAGTAAATTAGAATATCATCAAAAGGTTGAAGATATTTCAGTAATTCCATTCAAAACGTGAAACTTGTACATTATATTCATGCAATGCACACAGACCAATGTATTTCCAATGTTCATTACATTTAAATTTGATATTCATAAGTGACAACTAATGAAAACTCCAAATTTGGTATCTCAAAAAATTAGAATATTCTGAAAAGGCTGAATATAGAAGACACCTGCTGCCACTCTAATCAGCTGATTTACTCAAAACACCTGCAAAGGCCTTTAAAAGGTCCCTCAGTCTTGTTTTGAAGGCACCACAATCATGGGGAAGACTTCTGACTTAACAGCTGTCCAAAAGACAATCATTGACACCTTGCACAAGGAGGGCAAGACACAAAAGGTGATTGCTAAAGAAGCTGGCTGTTCGCAGAGCTCTGTGTCCAAGCACATTAACAGACAGGCGAAGGGACGGATAAAATGTGGTAGAAAAAAGTGTACAAGCTCTAGGGATAACCGCACCCTGCAGAGAATTGTGACGACAAACCCATTCAAAAATGTGGGGGAGATCCACAAAGAGTGGACTGCAGCTGGAGTCAGCGCTTCAAGAACCACCACGAGGAGACTCATGAAAGACATGGGATTCAGGTGTCGCATTCCGTGTGTCAAGCCACTCTTGAACAAGAAACAGCGCAAGAAGCGTCTCGCCTGGGCCAAGGACAAAAAGGACTGGACTGATACTGAGTGGTCCAAAGTTATGTTTTCTGATGAAAGCAAGTTCTGCATTTCCTTTGGAAATCAAGGACCCAGAGTCTGGAGGAAGAGCGGAGAAGCACAGAATCCACGTTGCATGAGGTCCAGTGTAAAGTTTCCACCGTCAGTGATGGTGTGGGGTGCCATGTCATCTGCCGGTGTTGGCCCACTCTGTTTCCTGAGGTCCAGGGTCAATGCAGCCGTCTACCAGGAAGTTTTAGAGCACTTCATGCTTCCTGCTGCTGACCAACTTTATGGGGATGCAGACTTCACCTTTCAACAGGACTTGGCACCTGCACACAGTGCCAAAACCACCAGCACCTGGTTCAAGGACCATGGTATCCCTGTCCTTGATTGGCCCGCAAACTCGCCTGACCTTAACCCCATAGAAAATCTATGGGGTATTGTGAAGCGGAGGATGCAATACGCTAGACCCAACAATGCAGAGGAGCTGAAGACGACTATCAGAGCAACCTGGGCTCTCATAACACCTGAGCAGTGCCACAGACTGATCGAGTCCATGCCACGCCGCATTACTGCAGTTATTGAGGCAAAAGGAGCCCCGACTAAGTATTGAGTGCTATACATGCACATTCTTTTCATGTTCATTCTTTTCAGTTGGCCAACATTAGAGAAACAAACATTTTTTCATTGGCCTTTAGAATATTCTAATTTTCTGAGATACCAGATTTGATGTTTTCATTGGTTGTCACCTATAAATATCAAAATTAAACGTAATAAACATTGGAAATACATTGGTCTGTGTGCATTGCATGAATATAATGTACAAGTTTCACGTTTTGAATGGAATTACTGAAATATCTTCAACCTTTTGATGATATTCTAATTTACTGGCCAGCACCTGTATACTGGACTACGTTTTCCGCCTTACGGAGTGAAAAATGGTCCCACACCTTTGACATTTTCTGTCTTTTTCGCACTCCACCGGGGTCCACATTGTCCGCCATGGCTTAAGAGAAAGTTAAGTTACATTCGCTACTCGAGTGTGCATTCAGCGCAGTGTGCGTTTGCGTCACTTATTTATGTCCAGGTGAAACATGACCCCAGACGATTGCAAAGCCATGAATTAATTAAACGAAGCCTCGAGGCAGAGAATTCGACTCGAGGCTTTTTTGTACTCGAATTATTCGAAGTATTTGAGGAATCTTTTCAACCCTAATGTGAAACAACTCATCTTAGGGTTGGGCATCGAGCATCGACTGGAACCGGTTGCAACTGTTAAATTTTTCCCGGAATTGTTCAAAGCTTTTTATTTTGATTCCTAGAATGCCGACCGGAAGCAGAATCCGCGGCAGATCTCCGTGAAAAATAAATAATCTGCTAATTGTGATCAATGCTTTTCAGAGCTGATCACACCTGTCTGTGTGCGCTGGGTCCCCCCTCCCCCCACCCCACCCGGCGCACAGTGGCCAAATCTAAACAAAGGCATCTGCAGAACCTTTACTCCATAATGTAAACTTGTTAAAATACGTCAACACGGTGGATTTAATAGAAGCTTTTAAAGAACAAACTCTGGACGGTGTGAGGTGAGTTTGTCTCACTGCAGAAATAAAAACACACACGGAGCGTCAGCAGTCAGACGCAGCCGCTCACCAACACTCGTGCGTGCGTGCGTGTGTGTGTGTGTGTGAGTGAGTGTCAGAAGGTTGAACAATAACCTGTAGAATAATTAAAGTCATCATGCTAGAGCAGCTTCTCTGTGGTGGACCACACCAGCTTCTGCCACAATAAATAATTATAATGATAATGATAAATCACAAAGTTGTGAACATTTTAATTTCCTTTCTGAACTATTTCTGTTGAGAGTTTTAATGTTTAAAATCTGTTAGATTGTTACTGACAGCAGCTACATTTCTGTTGTGACTGAATGCTGCTGTAGCATGGAGGTGTAGTTCTCAGTCATCCTGGACATGATCATCCTGAGAGTTTTAGCTGAAAACAGCTGGACGTTTCTGGATATGTTGGAGACATTTAGCCTCTCACCCAGAGACTTCTTCCAGACTTTGGTTGTGGTCAGAAACAAACACACTGGTTGTGCTGCAAGTCTTTTTCTTTTTTCTCCAAAACATGTTTTTGTCTAGATGAAGGTGATGTTGTCATTCATAGAGTTAAAATTCATGTTGAAGTTAAGATTATTTCATCAAGTAGGACCTGTGGTTAGCTAGCTCATGTAACACATGTCATGTCTTCAAAGAATCTGAATCGGGAATCGATAGGAACCAGAATCGAAACGAGGAATCTGAATCTAAATTGTTTAAAATCAAGCGATGCCCAACCCTATTTCTAATATTTCACAAATGTTTTACTTTGGATGACTTCATGGGTGGTGAATATTTTTTATAACAGAGGTCTATAGCAAGTTTGTTGGACATGTTTGATTGGGTAGTATCAGAATTCCTTAAACAGAAAGCACAAAGATGTGACATGTTTGTATACTTTTATTAGCAGTTTTAGTTTACTGTGATATATAAAATAGAAATTTTATTTTTATGCAGATTCCCTTTGAGATGTAAGGCAGATCTTCCTGGCCAGTGCTTGAATGTCCTAAAGAGGTGAGTATTTTCCCCTGTTTTAGTAAGATATTTATTGCCTTTTGATTTTAGTAAGACTTTTTTTATGCAGTTTTAGGACCGGATGAAACAAGCCCTAATTTCCAGTCTTCATAGAGAATGGCTGATGGGTGGGATCCATACTTCCAGAGCATTCAACCTCTGTCATTGGATGATGGAACTGTGCAGAGGACAACGGAGTCAGATGAAACTCTGTCCCAACCTTCAAAGAACTTCACTGGATGTCATGATTTTTCAGGTATAGTGGCTTCGCAAGAAGCCCCTGTGTCACACCCAAACTTCAACAAGAACTATTGCTCAAGTCCCAGTATTGAAAATTCGAGGTCAGACTGTGCTTATGAAAGATACAATGATTCACAATGGCAAGATGGAGGAAAACAACTGGAAAATGATTATCTACAAGGATGTGGAAAAAACTATTTTCCCACAGAAGTACCATCAGAATCATCTTCCAATACATCAGATTGTCAAGGTCTTGAGCAAAATTGTGAAATTTTACCCACATCATGTCTTGAGAACTACTCGTCTGTAAGCAGTTCCTCGAATACAGATGCTGTTGATGAAAGGCCATCTTGTAAAGTCACTGGAAGTGACTCGTTTTCAAGGCAAAATATTGAAATGCTTTCAGAAGAAAACTCAGAATTATTTTTTGATGACACTGAAAATTGTGATTCGCAGACCAATTGCGTGTATCCTAATACTTCTGAAAAAATCACATTTTCAATCAAAACATGTGCAGAAAATGCTGAATCTTCTGCTACCTCTTTGACGACAGCTACAGTGAGTGAAGCTGTACACAATGGTTTTCAAGGTGATAAACAAAATGAAGCTGTAATGAGAGATTTCAAAGAAGGTACATTTAAAGACTGTTTGACTGCAAACTTGACGAAAGAAGGAATTGATCATGATCCATTGGACAAAGAGGAGGAAGAAGGAATTGATCATGACCCATTGGACAAAGAGGAGGATGATCAGATCAAATCAACTACACCAACTCTTTTTGACAATGGCCAAGCACTCGTTGATGAAAAAGTCTTAAAGAAAACAGGAATTGACAGTGTGGAATCCAGCAATCGAGGCTTATCAGATGATCAAGAGACAATTGCGAGTGAAAATGTACAGGGCAACACCCAGGTCCAAGATTGTCTAACAAAACAATTGGATTCATCGGACCCAAAACCTTTTGATGAAGAGATATCTTTGACTTCAGTTTCCACTAAGAGTGGTGATGATACTGAAAAGAGAGAAACACAGGAAAAGGTGTCACAAACGTTTGACCATCTTGATCTTAAGGAATCAAGTTTTAAAGGCATTTGTGATGAAATGAGTAAATGCAATTTGAATATTTGCCATCATAACCATGACTCCAGCTTCCATAAAAAGCAGTTCTTGCACTGCTGTCCGGCCCAGGACAGCATTAGTGCAATCCTTTCTGAAGTGGAAAAGGACCATTTTAAAGATGCTACCATTGTGACCTTTCCAGAAAGCCACTTGCAACCAATTAAAGATGGCTCAAACATACATACTGAAAAAGAAATAAAAAATGATAAAGAATTTACAATTGCATCAGGGACAGACAAAGATTTAGACTGTGGTGTCTCAGACACTACTAATTTGTCTAGTTCTTCAGATGAGCAAAAGAAAAATGTGGCTTACCATGAATTGTCTAACTTAAAGGCACAAAGTTCGGGTCCAGATGAAAATCCCCAAAAAGATGGCTTTCCCAATGCAGTAAAGTCAACAGATCTTTCTCCGAATGCAGATTGTGTTAATCCCATTGTCACAGATGATATTAGTTATGAGAATACTGGTAGCAAAAATCATCAAGATACCATCATCCATAAAGGGTCTGCTTCTGAGACTTACTGCTCAAGCAAATACATTGATTCTAGCGCTGAAATGAAAAGCTCTTCACTAGACAAGATGACTACAAACTCATCTCTATGTTGTCATGCCCCTGATGCCACTAGTGACAGCCTTGCTAAGGATAATAATAATGAAAACATAAGTGATGCAAGTGATATGGACTCCAACGTAAAGCCAAATGTGTCTGGCACACATTCCCCAAACTGTCTGAAAATGGGAAGCCCTCCAAAGACAGATACTCGAAGCCTGTCACCAAATGAATGTGGTGATCCCATTGCAACCTTTGACAGACTTTCTATGGTCAGTAAAGATGTTAAGAGTCCAGAGTTACTCTTGCCACCAGATAGCTCAAACACAGACTTGCATCTCTGTCTTTCAAATGAATGTGCAAGCCCCGCTAAGAGGACAAGTACTTCTTTCCAAAAAGATTCAATGTCTGATACACAATCTGTGACATTTGACAACGAGCAAAGGATATCTGATATAAAACCATTCTCAGAAAAAGAGCAGGTGTGTCCCAAAGAAAATCACAATATGATCTCTTTTCCCACTCATCGTGAATCTCAGCATGAAAGTTTCATAGCACAGGAACCCATAAGTGTATGTAGTGATGTTGATGATAACACAAGAGAATCATTTGAAGACTGGGACTTCTCCATTCAAAAGCAGTCAGAATCTAGTTTGCTGTATGGTGAGCCTCTTTCAGAAGACTCTTTGTGTGATGCTGATGAAGAAAATTTTAAGTCAAGTCAACAAGAAGAAACAAAAGTGAAAAGACCCAACGAGTATAACAAGGACCAAACTGAGCAGCCAGCACTTCCACTGACACATTCTGTACAAACGAGAAGATTGCTGCACCCTGTTGTACTGCTGGCAACTTCAGAGTCATCAAATGAAATGAGCAACTCCTACTGTTGTGCTGATTGCCAACACACATCCAATAATATTGACCACTTGATTGAGCATCACCATTGTAACCATCCAATGTCTGTTTTCCACCATTGCAAGAATTGCAATGTTTACCTGATGAGAAATAAGCTAAACCAAAAGCATGTGTGTGATGTGGTCAAAAAGAGTACTCCCCTGTCTTCTAACTCCATTCCAAAAAAGAAAAGAAGATTAACTGCCCCCCACAACTGCACAAGGTGTGGGATCGTGTTTTCAAAACTTATTCAATATGTCAAGCATATGCGGACTCACACTGGCAAAACACCATATAGGTGTAATGAGTGTGGTTTGTACTTTGCACAGAGTTGTAGCCTACGGAAGCACAAACGTGTACCTGGTAGATGCAAGCAGTACAAATTGCTAAACACAAACTCTGATGCTGGCAAAACTGAAAAATCACCAGAAAAACAAAAACCACAAAACTTTTCAAATGACAATACAAGGAAATGTTATGTCAAGCTAATTGACATTTCTAAGTTCAATCTATGTCATTTGTGTGGTAAAGAATTTGTTTCTGCTAAGAGGGTCAAGAAACACATCCGTGATGTTCACAAATATAAAGGAGGGGCCATTTCATCCAATGTGGCTACTGCAAATGATGATGGCAAACCTCAAGAAGTCAAGGGTGAGATGCAAGAAAAATACAAATGCCCTCTTTGTCCACGACTTTTCAAGTACCCTTACAACAGGAATCGACATTTGCGTGATTGCGTTAAAATTGCAGTAGCAGGTAACAAGAATAAAGTTGGTGACAAATTTGCATGTCCCTTATGTAAAGCTACTTTCACGGCTTCAGGTAACAGACGAAGACATATTAAATGCATCTGCTTACGACAATGTATAATTCAGTTCAGAAAAGAGAGGGAGATTGTGCTGCAAAAGACAAGAAAAATGGACCTTGAACCACAATCAAAAGACATGGAAAACACTCCAGCCACAGAAAGTGTGCCCAAAGCATCCTCAGTTTTAACAGCTTCTAAGATTGGCCCGTTGTACAGATGCAATCACTGCCCGGCAGTTTTTCGTGATCCTTCCGGAAAGTATAGACATATGAAAAAACATGAGATGTTTAAACTTACTGGGAAGATGTTCAAATATAGAAATTCAGTTTTTTCTGTTGCGCCTAAGCTAGAGACTCAGAATAGTACAACTGAGGACAGCACTGAACTGTCAGAAACTGTTGAAGAAAAGAGTTCTCTGATTTGTCGCTTTTGTGGGATAGGTTTCGTTCATTTGACAACACTAAAGAAACATGAGCTCAGTCATCGCGGCGAAAGACCTTACCGCTGTCTTGAATGTGGGAAGGGATTCAAGAAGCGTGCCCATCTGACTGGTCATAAAATTGTCCACCAGAAAAGGATGCAGTGCACAATCTGCTCGAAGATTTTCCAAACTGTTGGAGAATTGCTTCAACACAGGAGTTTGCATCTTAAAAGGGGAAGACTTCAGTGTCCAGACTGTCCTACACAGTTTGATTACCCAGCACATCTACTTAGACATCTAAAAAGTCACAGGAAGAAAGAAAAGAAACTACAGCAACCTGAAGAAGGAACACAATTAAAGCCACAAGAGCCGGTGGAATCTGTCAAAGAGTATAATGCCCAAAAGCAGCAGCAATGTGTGTTATGCAAAGAAGTATTTGATGATTCCCTCAATCTAAGAAAACATACACTTACACACATTTCAAGGTCCTCTTCACCTCGGTGTCCATTTTGTAAGAAGTCTTATCCTGAACGCCGCAATTTACTGCGCCACCTGATTGTGCACCTTGGAGACAAGTCATTATCTTGTACAAACTGTGGAAAGCAGTTTTACCGGCCTTTATATCTCAACATTCACATGCAGAAATGTTTGCCTCCTCAAGCCAATTGTTCATTTGAAACAACGTCCAGCACTAAGAAAAAAAGTAAACCATATCATTGTTCGCGATGTTTCCGGAGTTTTTGTAAAAGGGACCGTTGGCAAAAGCATCTTTATGGCCACAAGAAGAACATTCTAATCCCCTGTCCAAGATGTGGTCAGTTCTTTGGAAGAACTAAAATAACCCAGCATAATGTATTCTGCAGAGAGACTGCAGAGTCCTCCACTGATAAGTGTACCACTAACGTTTCCATAAAAAACTCCCCACAAATTAGCACGATCATTCATAAAACACCTTCTAGTTCTAAAGAATCAACAACCAACTTGTTTAAATGCCCTTACTGTGCACAAAAGTTCAGGTACAGATCATATTTCCTGAGACATCTTGTTAAACATACTGGAGTGCAACCCTATGCATGCATGCATTGTGATTCGAGATTCAGAAGTGAGACAATGCTTTTTAAGCATGAAGAAGTTTGTGATGGTGCAAAGAGTACAGAACAGTCCAAAAGCAAAAGTGAAGGTGAACGAAACATGGATTCTCTTAGAGAGGCAACACAGAAACCTCCACCAGACTGTGAGTACAAATGTAAATTCTGCACCAAGACCTTCATGAAGCCACGAAGCCTGAGGCATCACATTTTGACACACAATGAGGTAAATCCTTATCGATGTAAAAACTGTGATAGCTGCTTTTCAAGGTACGATCATCTGAAAGTACACCACACTCGTTGCAAAGGAAAAAAGACACGACTAGAGGTCAGAATTCCTAAAATCACTCTAGATGATGTTGGCAGAGGTTGGCAAACTAGATTTAATCTCAAGCCTCTCGACAAGGAGGAGACATTTGAATGTGAAGTCTGCTTGAAAAGCTTTCCAGCCCTTTCAAAACTTTCTAGACACTTTACTATGTTTCATGCTATAAAACCATTCAAGTGCACTCGTTGTGGCTCTGCTTTCTCTCATGAAAAGACTTTAAAAACACATCAAAGAATGAAAAGGTGCAAAAAGCCAACCAATGAAACAAAGGCTCATCCAATGCAAGAAAGTAATAAACCAGCTGAAAATGTGACTAAACCACTTGAGGAGATAAGAAATCGAATTCTACTCAAGATCCAACCTGTTGTTAATAAAAAGTTCAAGCACGTATGTGCTTATTGCCCCCGCTCCTTCAAACATAGTTGGCAATTAAATGTGCACGTTCGTCTACATACAGGAGAAAAACCATTTTCCTGCGAGTATTGTGATGAAAGATTCATAAGGAGAGATTATGTAGTGCGCCATCATTTAAAGTGTGTTAAGATCCGAGAGCACAAGAAATCCCTATGTGACAGATGTGGAAATTTTTTCCCAGAAAATGAAATTGAAGATCATAAAAAAGGTTGCCCTATCAGACCATATTCGTGCAAGTACTGCAGAAAGAAATTTTCAAAGAAGGATGGTATGTTACAGCACTCTCTAAAGTGTGATGGAAAACTTCAGAGTAGTGACATACTTTGTGACAAATGTGGAGGATTCTTTTCAGAAGATGAGCTGGAAGATCACAAAAAAAGTTGCACTTCAAAACCAAGCCCATCACCAGCTTCCAAAAGCCACCCATCAAGCTCTCTAATCCCACCAAAAGGCTTTTCTTGTGCATACTGTAGTTCACGGTTTTTGCTGTTTTCACAGCTCCAAGAGCATTTCTTAAGTACACACAAATTGGAAACATTAAATTCATCAATATCAACTGCTCCCCTGCAACAACTTTTGTCCAATATTCCAAAAATCAAAGAAGAGCCTGTTGATGATAGTTGTGAGAAAATGGTTACTGATGATGCTAATGCAATTTGTAAACCAGATACAGAACTTAAGGCAGACACTTCTCCACAGTATGTCTGCTCACACTGTAATATGTGCTTTACAAATAAAGCTGGCCTAACTGGTCACCAACGTGTGCATACAAAAGATTTACCCTTTAAATGCAAAGTTTGTAACAAAGGCTTCTGGAATAAAACCCTTGTCCGAAACCACTACAGAAAATGTAGGTCTACTACAAGCCAACAGCTAGAAGGTCCTTTAAAAGCAGAAATTGAGTTTGCACTTTGCAGCTCTGATTTTGACGTCAAACACCCTGAAAGCACAGATGCTCTGCAAACCTATGAAGAAGAGTCAGAGGATGAATCATCGCATAGTTCTTTTGGAACTCTGTTGCCAAGCAGCTCAATTCAGGAAAAGAAACCCATTCAGTACCAGTGTTCAGAATGTGATAAAAGCTTCACTGATGGCCTAATGCTTATAAGTCATCTTGAAGATCATGGAAGAGAAGAACAAGAGAAAAAGCAAAATGCATGCTTAAAGTGTGGGAAGGTCTTCTCTACTCAAGGAAATCTAGACAGTCACATGAGGACTCATGATACCAGCAAACCTGTCTCTTGCAAACTGTGTCAACAACGATTTTGGACAAGGTCAGCTGTGTGTGACCATTACAGAAAAGAACATGCCGATGATGTCTTTTATTGTCAGGTCTGCAGCAATGTGTATGCCATCAAGAAATCCCTGGTTGAGCATTATAGAAGATGTCATCCTAAAGAGTGGCAGGATCATGGGTATAATGTCTTGCAGAAAGGCACCACTAATGAACACCAGTCTAGCAGTCATGTAAGTACAACTGGTGAAAGTGATGAAGATAACAGTGATAGTGATTCTGACTCTGCACCATATTTCCCTTGTCACGTCTGTGGTAAGACTTTCCCAACATCAGAAAGCCTTGAAGATCATCAGCTGTGTCACTTGGGCAAAAAGCCACACGAATGTGCAGAATGTGGCAAATGTTTTGTTCTCGCAACTCAGCTGCAACAGCACCAGCGAACGCACAAGTCTGAATTTCAATGTCAAACATGTGGCAGGGGATTTGTTACTCTCTTTGCACTCAAAACCCATAAGCATTCTCATGGGAGGAATCGTCCACATCGCTGTTCCAAGTGTCACCTCAGTTTTACTGAACCCATACATCTTGCAGAGCACATGTCTACCCATCGTGAAGAAAGCTTCCCATGTGATTTATGCAGTAAAGTCTTTCAGTCCAAGAGCAGTAGAGTTGAGCATCGAAAGAGCCATTCTATGTCTGGTGGCAACCCCACACCTTCGATTTTAAAGGGAGAACTGTCTGAAAGTTTAAGTGGATACAACTCAGAATTCAGATATCGCTGTGGTATCTGTGGTGAGCGTTTCAGAGACCCAGAGGAGCTATCAGAACATGGTTGCATGGAAGCTAAAGAACGACCATATTCATGCACAGAATGCAAAAAACACTTTCTCCATTCATCTCACCTAAAAAAGCACATGAACACTCATCAGCCATCACGGTCTGAAGGAGAATACCCATGCAACCAATGCAACAGTAGTTTTTCCTCCTCACAAAACTTCTTTAAACATCTCAAGAGTCATGTTGATGCACCAAAAGAAATTAAACAAGGAGATTCAATAATTGGACACAGATGTCCAGTTTGCCATCAGTGTTTTGCCAGTGCTACTGAACTGATCCACCATTTCCCTATCCATCTTGATAACACGCATGAAGAAGACAAAGTCCAACTTGACGCTTCTAAAAGTGAACTTGAAAAGAAATATCTAACATCTGCTGCTGAATTTGAGTGCACCAAGTGTGGTGGTAACTTTCTAGGGGCCGATGCTTACCAACATCACTATTGTTCTCAACAACAGCAGGCAAGAAAGGAGAGCAAATACTCTGATCCAAAAGAAAAAACTCTTCAGCGGCCAATTGGGGATGAAGAGGAGGTTGATGTAACTGGAGATGACTTGTATATGTGTGTTGACTGCTCAATGCACTTCTCTTCCAAAAGTAGCTTCTTAGCGCATCAAAATGAACACAATTCAAATGGAAAGTCTTTCAGATGTGAGCACTGTGGAAAAACCTTTGCCAAGATGCGCTATCTAAAAAAGCATGAGCGGAGGCATCGTCTGAAAGACCTTCCCTTTTCTGCAGCCGAGGTGCTTGACAAAAGGTTCAAATGTGTTCAGTGTCTTGAAAAATTTAGCACGGTCCAAGATTTGTCGTTGCACATGAGACTGCATGCGGAAAAAGAAGTAGGAGAGTACCGTTGTGATATGTGCTACAAGTCTTTCAGCAAGCGTTCTCTTCTCAAACAGCATCAAGAGAGCCATGTTGGTGAAGTTGTATATGAATGCACAGAATGTGACAAAGCATTTGCTTTCCCTCATCTGCTGGATGAACATCAAAAGACTCATACAAAGCCCTCTGAGTAATACCAACATGACATGTTTACCTTGTAATGTTATTTTATCTTACATCTGTGTATCTCCATGTGTTATTCGAGTTTTGTTCATTTGTTCAGTGTGGTGCAAGTTTAAAGTACTTGGCTTGTGTCATTAGGACAAAGCATCTTGAGAGTTTTGTTTGTGTATTTTTATAGTTTTGTTGTAGGGATTTGTGTACAATAAATTAGCCCCTTAGGTCCAAACCATGTTTGTAAATCCTTGTTAAAAGTGGTTAAAATCTCTTGAAAATGTTGGGAAAGCTGATGTTATGGTTATAAACTCAGATTTCTGAGGTTATGAAATACTGTTTAGTTGAGGATATGTAAAGTGTACTCTACCTTTGAAGTCATTTGAAATTTTCTATGGTATTTCATTATCTGTGCTGTATATAGTTTTGTTATGTTTAGTTAATCTTTTTATGTTAATCAACTGTTTTTGTTTTTAATGATGCAAGAAGCATCTTGTACAGATTAGATGAGCTTGAATTGACGTTTACTTTTCATCACCTGAGGATGTTATTTTTTCTGTAAAAAGTAGGCTGTTCATTTAAAGAGTAAAATCGACTACGAAATCAATAGATTTTTCTGTGTGTTTTTATGCATGCAACCCCAATATTGGAAGGTACATTTTTGTTACCAAAATTGTATTTTAGAACCCTTGTGCTATTTGGGGCCAGATTGTGTTATTGAAAATTACTGAAAGAAACATCATTTGATGTCTGAGTGCTGATTTTCCAAGAAAATAACATTGAAGCTTTTTGAATAGCTAAAGTCTAGTTTATACGTCTCTGTCTGCTGCAACAAGGAGACATGCAACACCATGACCTATTGACGCAAGTGCTCTATAGCAGGTTAACAGAGGGTGACAAAGACATACCCAATTTTTAAACTTCATCAAAAGCTACAGAGAGCGTGAGTAACCTGTGATTATTCAGCTTGCCACTTATTCTAAATTTGTCAGTGGCATTTCCATAAAAAAGGAGTATCAAAATATGTGGCGTCAAAATTGGAGCAGTTTGGATTCACAGAATTCCATTGATGTCACCTTCAAAATACAACCCTTCATTTAATTTGTGAAAGAAAGTTGCAGGAAACTTGAATTTGGAGAATGTTAATTGCACGAACAGGTGGAAAAGAACGAGGGACAAATTTGTCCATGTTAAAATGGCTCTGAAATAAATATTATAAAAACAAATACACAATAGTAATTACACTATTGTGGACCCCAAATATGCCCTAGTAATCCTGGCAGGGAATTGCTTTGCAACACTCTTCAGGCAGTAAAAATGGTTTAAAAGTATAGCTATGAATATATTGTGGAGATTTAAGAAAACTGAAAAGTTAATGGCATGGTTCTCATGCATTTGTCTAAAACCCTCGGCCAAAAACACAGCTTGGACCGAAAGCAACTATCGAACCACTGCATTTCTGCATGTACTTGGATCTACCACTCATTATGCACCCACACATTTTGCAACACCACCACTGGTGTGAGAGGTTTGGTGCTCAATATCAGAGAATGAAAAATGGCCTGCTACTTCCAGCAGTAGCTCAGGAGGTAGAGCAGGTTGTCAAGTAATTGTAAAGTTTGTAGGCTCAATCCGGTTCTCATCGGAGAATGTTGCTGTTGTGTCCTTGGGCAAGACACCAAAAGGTAAACTATAAGAATTGAGTAACCGTGACATCCTGTGATCAGATTTGGTTACTGCAATTTCAGCTTCTCTGGGTTGCCAGATAGCGATAGGAAACTAAAGTTTGTTTTAACAACCATGAAATACTATGCTTTCACAAATATGAACAAATTAAAACAAATAAATATATATTCAAATTCAAAAATACTTTATTAATCCCAGAGGGAAATTGATTGCTGTAGTAGCTCAGAATAATAATAAAGTCATCAAAGAGTTATTGTATATTACAATGGCTGTTGGCAGGAAGGATCTCCAGTAGCGGTCAGTGTTGCAGCCAAACTGAAGAAGCCTCTGAAGACACTTCCGTTGTCGGACAGTCTTGTGAAGAGAATGCTCAGGGTTGTCCATCATTTTCTTGGTTCTCTGGAGGATCCCTCTTTGCATTACCTCCTCCAGTGGTTCCACAGTCGTCCCCAGAACAGAACCAGCCTTTTTTATTAGGCTGTTGAGCCTTTTCAGGTCCCTGCTTCTGATGCTGCTACCCCAACAGACGATGGCTGAAGAGATTACACTCTCAACAACAGACTTGTAGAAGATCTGCAGCATCTTGCTACAGACATTGAAGGACCTAAGCGTCCTCAAGAAGTGCAGTCTGCTGTGCCCCTTCTTGTAAATGGCTTCGCTGTTCTTTCTCCAGTCCAGTCTGTTGTCCAGGTGAACTCCAAGGTATTTGTATTCCTCAACCACCTCCACTTCTTCTCACATGATGGAAACAGTGTTTGACTCAACCCTGTTTCTTCTGAAGTCTAAAATCATCTCCTTTGTTTTGTTCACATTCAAGGTCAGATGCCACAAAGCGTTCCACCAGCTCTCCGTACTCAGCTTCCTGTCCATCTCTGATATACCCGACGACTGCAGAGTCATCTGAGTACAGGTGCTGGCCAGTAAATTAGAATATCATCAAAAGGTTGAAAATATTTCAGTAATTCCATTCAAAACGTGAAACTTGTACATTATATTCATGCAATGCACACAGACCAATGTATTTCCAATGTTCATTACATTTAAATTTGATATTTATAGGTGACAACCAATGAAAACATCAAATCTGGTATCTCAGAAAATTAGAATATTCTAAAGGCCAATGAAAAAATGTTTGTTTCTCTAATGTTGGCCAACTGAAAAGAATGAACATGAAAAGAATGTGCATGTATAGCACTCAATACTTAGTCAGGGCTCCTTTTGCCTCAATAACTGCAGTAATGCGGCGTGGCATGGACTCGATCAGTCTGTGGCACTGCTCAGGTGTTATGAGAGCCCAGGTTGCTCTGATAGTCGTCTTCAGCTCCTCTGCATTGTTGGGTCTAGCGTATTGCATCCTCCGCTTCACAATACCCCATAGATTTTCTATGGGGTTAAGGTCAGGCGAGTTTGCTGGCCAATCAAGGACAGGGATACCATGGTCCTTGAACCAGGTGCTGGTGGTTTTGGCACTGTGTGCAGGTGCCAAGTCCTGTTGAAAGGTGAAGTCTGCATCCCCATAAAGTTGGTCAGCAGCAGGAAGCATGAAGTGCTCTAAAACTTCCTGGTAGATGGCTGCATTGACCCTGGACCTCAGGAAACAGAGTGGGCCAACACCGGCAGATGACATGGCACCCCACACCATCACTGACGGTGGAAACTTTACACTGGACCTCATGCAACGTGGATTCTGTGCTTCTCCGCTCTTCCTCCAGACTCTGGGTCCTTGATTTCCAAAGGAAATGCAGAACTTGCTTTCATCAGAAAACATAACTTTGGACCACTCAGCATCAGTCCAGTCCTTTTTGTCCTTGGCCCAGGCGAGACGCTTCTTGCGCTGTTTCTTGTTCAAGAGTGGCTTGACACACGGAATGCGACACCTGAATCCCATGTCTTTCATGAGTCTCCTCGTGGTGGTTCTTGAAGCGCTGACTCCAGCTGCAGTCCACTCTTTGTGGATCTCCCCCACATTTTTGAATGGGTTTGTCGTCACAATTCTCTGCAGGGTGCGGTTATCCCTAGAGCTTGTACACTTTTTTCTACCACATTTTTTCCGCCCCTTCGCCTGTCTGTTAATGTGCTTGGACACAGAGCTCTGCGAACAGCCAGCTTCTTTAGCAATCACCTTTTGTGTCTTGCCCTCCTTGTGCAAGGTGTCAATGATTGTCTTTTGGACAGCTGTTAAGTCAGAAGTCTTCCCCATGATTGTGGTGCCTTCAAAACAAGACTGAGGGACCTTTTAAAGGCCTTTGCAGGTGTTTTGAGTAAATCAGCTGATTAGAGTGGCAGCAGGTGTCTTCTATATTCAGCCTTTTCAGAATATTCTAATTTTTTGAGATACCAAATTTGGAGTTTTCATTAGTTGTCACTTATGAATATCAAATTTAAATGTAATGAACATTGGAAATACATTGGTCTGTGTGCATTGCATGAATATAATGTACAAGTTTCACGTTTTGAATGGAATTACTGAAATATTTTCAACCTTTTGATGATATTCTAATTTACTGGCCAGCACCTGTATTTCTGTAGATGGCAGGTCTCTGATTTGTACTGGAAGTCTGAGGTGTACAGGGTGAAAAGGAATGGTGAGAGTACAGTCCCCTGTGGTGCTCCAATGTTACTGATTGCCTGGTTTGATGTGCAGTTCTTCAGCCTCACAAACTGTGGTCTGTCAGGTAGTCTTTAATCCAGGTGATAGTTGAGGCCCCCACCTGTGTCTTCTGGATTTTCTGGCAAAGTACATCAGGCTGAATTGTGTTACATGCACTGGAGAAATCAAAGAATATGACCCTGACAGTGCTGCCTGCTTTGTCCAGATCACAGTGGGTTGGTTGAAGCAGCTGGATGATGGCATCTTCAACTCCAACTCCATGGCGATAAGCAAACTGCAGCGGGTCCTGATATGTTCTAGTTTGCTTATTCAGGTGGACCAACAGGAGTCTCTCCAGGACCTTCATGATGTGGGATGTCAGGGCAACCGGTCTAGTCGTCAATGACTGATGGGCGAGTTTTCTTTTGAACTGGAACAAGGCAGGATGTCTCCCACAGGACTGGAACCTTCTCCTGGGCCAGGCTGAGTTTGAAGAGGTGCTGCAGAATCCCACAGAGGTGCTCTGCACAGGCCTTCAGTACCCTGGGGCTGACACCATCTGGACCTGCAGCCTTGTTACTGTTCAGTCTCTCCAGCTGCCTCTTCACTTGACTTCTAGATACAGATAGGTGTGTGTGGGGGAGGTAAATGGGGCAGCAACATCTCCTGACTTGGTTGAAGACAGATTTATAGAACCAGAAGAGTCCATGACTGCATTAGAGGACAAAAGAGCTGGTGTGTGACAGGAAAATGTTGGATCAGAAGAGGATGTGATGTCTGATTGGCTGTGGACAGGCGAGGAGGATGCTGGGTTTGTTCCTGAACTGAACCTATTGAAGAACTTGTTCAGTTCATTGGCTGTGTCTAGGCTGCCATCTGTGCAATCCTTCCTCTGCTTGAAGCCTGTGATCTTCTTCATCCCTGACCAGACATCTCTGATATTGTTCCTCTGTAGTTTGTTCTCCAGCTTCTTCTTGTATGCCTCCTTGCTGTCTCTAATCTTGATCTTCAGTTGCTTCTGTATACTCCTCAATAATTCCCTGTCTCCCTCGTTGAAGGCTCTTTTTTTTCTCACTTAGCAGATTCTTCAGTTCACTGGTGATCCAGGGTTTGTTATTAGCGAAGCATCTCACTGTTCTGGTGGGTAAGATATTGTCCACACAGAAGTTTATATAGTCAGTAACACATCCAGTCATGGCATTGATGTCCTCTTCATATCCTTGGCAGAGAGTCATCCAATCTGTGTCTCAAAACAACTCTGCAGGGCTTCTTCAGCATCCTGTGACTATTTTCTCACAGTTCTTCTTGTCACAGGTTGCCTCTGAACAAGT